AGCTTTGGTAATGTTGGACTTAGCCAATTCGACTGGTTCTTAGAAGTTAGCTTTAACCAGGCTTAAATGCATTGTCCACCCTTGCACGAAACAAGGGGAAACTTTCTACATCTTTACTTTTAATCTAAGCTACGCGAAGTCGCTTAATTACTGATTCAACTCTATTCGGGAGGATTTTTTATTTTTTTTCCGGATCCTCCAAGTACAGTTGAATTGAGATTTTGACTCCAGAAATTAAATAAGTATAAAATATAAGAAACTTTATAAAACCTTTAAATTATGCCTCAATTTACATAAAATATTATTAGATAATATTACTTCCTGTAATATATAATAATATAATTTAGGTTGTCTTACACCAAAAAAAAAAAAAGAACCCTGGGTAGAAGCAGAATCAGTTTTGAATCCTTCTGCCCAGTGTATAAAAATAAACCAAGCAAGTTGATCAAAATCATTGGAGCCATGATATCGGTTTTTCGTTTTCTTTTCTTTTTAATCAAGGTATATTAGGGCAATATGCTTGAAACATAAATGGAATTTCAAGAACGGTTATATATGTACCTTTTCCACTTTGACACAGTCAATGAATGGCTTATTAGGTGCAGCCCAGCTCAATGATAATACAAAGGAAAAGCTTCTTGTCGGATGCTAAATCTTAAAAGTCAAACAACATCATATGAATTAAAAACAAAATCTGGCCGAGCAGGCCAGCAATAGTTATTGGTTCGTTTCTAATTGGAAAAGCCCGCCAGTAACTAAGTACTTTATTCGTTGATTACATTCAAGAGGATTTTTTCTTTCGTCGTCTCACTGCTTATTCAGAGGAACTCAGTGTTGAACCTGTCCACTGTGTGACCGCTCACTTTAATTTTTAGAAATTGAGAAGAGGCTAGCCTGCAGCTCGTTGTCCTTTCAATGACTTTATAGATCACTGGTTCGTCTTTGCTTCAAATTCCTTCTCGCAACAAGCTATAAGGCAGAATGGCAATGCATAGTGGTTTATTAAAAATTATTTTAGGTTTTTTATAAATATGATCAAGAATAAGATTAAAGATGTAGAGATTTTTTTTTTTTTGTTCTTACCTTGTTTTGCCACCTTCATCTGAACACTTCAGGGGTAATACGTTGTATTAGCAAACTCTATCAATACCTTTAATTAGTCAAAGCTTCCTTGAAGTCTTAATAGTTTAAGAACAAGGTAATTAATGGTGGAGTGATGCCAGGTTGAAGAATTGGAGAGTAGCAATTAGGGTGAGATAATACCTATCGATTCATATAGGGAGAGAGCAGAGTCATGTTAAATGAAACTTTATATCTTAAAGGATCTTGTGATGGTTTAGCTCTCTGTTGTCAATCTCATTCCAAACTAAAAGATTCTTGGGGTAGCATGCACCCATCACTTGTGTGGTTGAAGGGAGCGCGGTTTGTAATTAAGAAAGATTAAAATGTTTTATTTAAGGGATTATTGGTTTGTCTAATATATTGGAGAAGGTGTAAATATACATATTGCCAAAGAGTTATCGTTATAAATCTCAAAGATATAATGAAATTCAGTAATTCATTACATTTTGTATTAACAAAATCAATCTACTGAATTATTTCAATAGTTGAAGACTTAAGATGACATGCTAGTTTATGAGATCTCCATAAAAAATCACTTTTCAAAAAAAAAAATTCACTAAGCATTCATCGGTGTATGATAAAATTATCAAATTCTTATAAATTTTTTTTATTATAAAACAATATAAAAACAATCTAAAAAAAATTTAATAAAAGTGGAGAGAATGATTGTAATTTATTTTTCTTTTATCTTTTCGACACATGTTCAAAAATCAAAAAGTCTTATTTATAAGTAAATTAATATCTTATTTTCGTGACAGACACAATGGTCTATTAGTAATAAACACAATGGTCTATTTTTCAACAAATATAATTATTTATTTTTAAACATAATTATTTGAATAAATTTAATTATTTAAAGAAACATAACTCTTGAATAATTATAATTGTTCAAAGAACTTTCTTTCTTTCATTTTTTCATTATTATTGTTGAAAATATTTCAACACATGCAAAGCGATTGCAAGCAAGGTTAGTGTTTCCTCCATCACCTGGGCAAGTTACTCCAGGCTCTTTTGGAAAGGCAGGATTGATATTTGCTGCATTATAAATTGTGTTTCTAAAGGTAAAACAGTGTGCTAACCTAACGGTGTGGCCACCGGAGAGAGCTACAAGATCTCTTGACAGGGCCAGCTTTCGCATAAAATCAGCAGAGCCCTTGCTTCAGGTCTCACAATTTTATAAGTCCATAACTGTTTATAATATAATTAATTATATTAAATATATATAAATCAAAATAATTAATAAAATATTTCTTAAATTAAGTATCTATTAAATATTTATTTTCTTTCACTTCCTATTTTTTATTAATTCTAAACTATTTATCCCACTCCTTCACTTATGTGAAAGTCAAAATAATTAATAAAATTACATATTCTCTTATTTTTTTCAATTCTGTGCTTAATAAATTTATATTTTTTATCTTTTTTCAATTCTCATAATGTTAATAATTTTTAATTATTATTTTTTATTTTTAATGAATGTAATATGCTTTTAGTGATCTCCAACTAATGATAATTTTTTTAATTTCAATAAAAAGAGCCTCATTTAATTTTTTTTTTTACTTAATAAGAGCCTCATTTAAATACTTAATCACTTTAAACCTTTAAAGATATTGAGCGGCCTTTGTCTCTAAAGGCACATTATTTTTGATTTGGACTGAGCGAATCATTGGACTGGTTCTCAAGGCTTTTCTTTACCAACTCAAAGGACTTGCCCACCCTAGAAAGCAAGCAGGCTGACGTTCACCTCTCCTCCTTTATTATTCTTGGGTTAGGGTATATCTGAAATTATCATATGTTGACGAAGCCTTATCTTAACTTTAAGGAGACAATTTTGAAACGAGATTTCAAATTCAATTGTCATCATTTGTGAATTTAGTCTAATTTTATGTTAGATTTTTTTTATTGTATGCAAATTATTTGTTGACTTTTACATGAAATTTAATTCTTGATTGTGATCATAAATTTTTATTTTCTTCTTTATAAATATACTTTTCTAAGAAAAAAATCATTAGTTGTAGCGAGAAGAAAGCTCAGACTATGACAGCTCAAATCCAAATATGGAGATGCCAACAAGCCAAGTGTTAGGACATAATTTTACTTTATTTCATTTTTTAAAAATTGATATGATTTTATTGTTAAATACAAAATGGAGGTGTGTTCAAGGGTCAGATTGTGTATCCACCCAAGCCATGGGCCTGATCCTAATAGATTTTTAGGTTCGCAAAATGATTTTAACAGTTTTTGCAGAGGATTATTTTTTTAATAAATAATACATTTGATTGAATTTTAAGTTTCAAATATAAAACTTTTTAAACATAAAGATCAATACACAATATTAGAAAAAGAAAAGATGTAAACTAGAAAAAATTGTAATATTCTAAAATAACCAATATGAACATCTAATTTTTGATGAAATGAATATAGGAAGATTGACGTAATTGTTTTATTTTCATTTTTACTTCTCGTATGATAGTTTAAAACAATCCAGCTTTGAAATCATGATAACTAATTATTATGATAAACACGTTTTTGAAACCCCTCTAGGAATCGTTCAAGTTTCAACTAGTTTCCTAGGGGCGGCTTTGTTCTATTGTTTTCTTCGTCATCTTTTTGTTTTTCTTTGCCCTTTATTTTCAAGACAATTTTCTCCTATTCCTCTATTTGGTCGATTATTATCCATTACATTGACAGTGAAATTTTTATTCCACAATTCCATTTATGGTGTATTTAAAAAGGAATAAATTATTTAATTATTAAGAGTCAGTTACCTTTCAATTCAGTTACTTAAATTTTTAAAATTTTTTATTTTCATCATTCAATTTAAAAATATAATATTTTGATCATTAATATTTATATTATTATTTTAATCACTCATTATTAAAAAATAATAAACTTATCACGTGACATTATGGAAACCACCCTTACCTTATAGATTTTAAATACAAACTTGTACAAATGGTTGCCCGATACAAGGCTAAGAACCCTAACTCCGTGAACCCAAGGTTGATAATTCAAGCCTTACAAGTCATCGAACATACACTCCAAAGTGACTAAATGAAAACTTAGCAGCCTATAACTCCATCAAAGGCACACAAGGTACATTAAAACAATGCAAGAAGCAGCAAGTGTAGATGTCAACCGATAACCCGATGGCAATTTTTATATGTGGTATATATAATATAGTATAAAGATTAAAAATTAAATTATAACATTTATCATTATTGGGACTTAAACTTTGTTGTAATATTGGCCCAGTCACATGCTAGACCGTGGATATGAGGTGCAAGCGTGACAATTGGACTTCGTTTCTTGATGGAGTTGCAATTGCTCAAAGGCTTTATTTGAGAGAGAGAGAGCCGATCAATTATTGTTTAAAGCCTTACTAGGCCTCTAAAATCTAAAAGATGACCCATATAATTATCTGGCCTTCCTTGGGCTTGAGCGTGAACGATTTTGAGACGGCCCATTTGGTTATGGAACTCTTGTTGGACCACGAAAAATTTATAATCGTAGTTACTTTTTACAAAAGATTGGCTTCGTTAGATTTCGACCTGATTATTGCTACTGCAATGCACATTGGCTTCGTGAATGTTTGCGGTTTGACATATACATATATATACTTTAATTGGCCGATTTCTTGAATGTGGTCACGCCCAAGGCTTTAACTCTGTTTTTGGAGTTCTTTTCTCATAGCGTCACACTCTTTTTTCTTTAATTTCTTTGCTTTATTGGTTCAATTTCCGATCACTATTTCATTTTTAGTTGTTAGCCTTAATCTTCAGTTTTCCTTTTTGTTATTCCTTAATCTTAAAAATAAAGAATGAAAAGAAACTGCCTATTCAATTGCGGCAAGTAGAAGTAGAAACAAACATATAAAATTCGCCAAAACAAAAGAGTCAGATTATACCTGAAATTACAATTATAACAAGAACAACACTCATTAATGCATTTATTATTCCAAATAATAGTGTGTTCAAAACCACAAAAATGGGAATTAACAAAAGACTCAATTGACTTTCCTACAATTCGTCCTGATTTGGCCGCTTGTTCCAGTGAGTGGGCTAAGGTTTCCCATCTTGACCATTGCATTGGCAAAATCTGTCGTAAAAGATCCCAAGTTGGAGCTGTAGGCATTAACCTGAGAGTCCGTTGAACCCCCACTAAAGAGTTGCTGGTCAGAGTGTAACAGTCCTTTCTGGCTCTGCAAATTCTTGTAATATGCATTGTCGAATGTTGTCGGGCTTGTGGTGTCCAGGGGGGAAAGGTTGTTGTCCCCTCCTGTGCTTGGGCAGTTTGCTCTTAGCGAAGTTGCAAAGGAGGGGTCAATCGTGGTCTCATTGTAGATTCTCCGCCGGAAGGTTGTGCACCTAGCTTGCCCGATTGTGTGAGATCCTGAAGAAATTAATCGGAAAAATAACATCATTCATCATGTTAACATGAATTTGATAAGACTGTCAATCGAGTTTGGTGGCTAATAGTTAAGAATTTAAGTTGCTAACAGCCTAACATACCTGAGAGGGCTACCATTTCTTTAGCAGTGAAACCTTTGTTTGAGAAGGCACTGATAAGGCCACTAAGACTCAAAGTTGGAGCAGGGATGTTGGAATTAGCAGCATTCAAGCTTGCTGTGGTTGAATCTCTTCTACCCAAAAGAACTGACCAACTAGGCCCTCCAAGCTGAAACAAAGTCAAAAGTAAAAAACGAGTATTTTTGACAGGAATTCCAATGCAGATTTATAAATCATGGTTTTCACTTACAGCAACGACAGAGTCACGAGCAGCAACTGCTACAATATCAGCACAAGAAACTACACCAGGGCACAAACTCTCCAATTGAGACTTGATGGTGTCAATTACTTCATATCCCCTCACTGAATTGTTGTTTGGACCAGCTGTTTTTTCTCCTGTGATATTTGCTGTGTCATCCAATAGTATGGATGCATCGCATCCCTGGTTCATAATAAATTAACAAACTTGTTACTTTATTTGTTCTAAACTTGCACATGTACATGCGCCAATATGAATTTCATGCATGATAATCATATGGCTACATAGGATACATATCCTACAGAAAAACAATTAAATTCGTTAATATTGAAGAACAATTACATGTATTTATTATTCAATGTTATTTACAAACGTATATACAGGCACACATATATATAAAATCATCTGCAAAATACAGATGTTGTTGAAAATTGAATCCAAGACATGTTTTTATTCTCTCTGAAGTCATTCCTCTTTCTCTAAGCTTAATACTGGCTAACTATTGATAAATATTAATAGCCAAAGATAACAAGTCAAAACATAGAGCAGAGACTATCTACCCAATGTGAGCAGTGATCATGGAAAGCTCAGGTTGTTAAGCACCCTCTACATAGCTTACCTGATAGAGTTTTATATTTTATGTTGGCATCATTAACATCTGGTTCCTTAACTTTAATTATTAAGATTTGTGGTCCTAATCTATTGCTGAATGCCCCGGCAGAGCAAACATGAGATGATGACCGCATGCAAAAAATACAAATAAACAAAACAAGTTCTTAAAATATACTACACATAAATAAACAAATGATTAACAGAACAATCAATCAGCATGTTTCTTTTTAATGCCTCCTACAAAGTCAAAAATGTTGGCTTCTTCTGTGGCAACTATCGTTTAGGTAGATGTCGGTCGAGACAGTTCCACCCCACCGCCTTTGTTTTTAT